AATCAATCAGACAGAGGATATGCAATTTCCATCCCGCGTGCTGATGAAAATTCTCCTCATTTCGTTGTTGCTGAAGCTCTGCCCAGGAAAGCCGGCCGGGGCCGGGGGATCCGCGGCGGCGCTGGAGTCGTACGTGAAGCGGTGCCAACTGCCCGACGAGGCGACGACAGAAACCTAGCGGGCCGCGACCCGTAGGTTACTAAAATAATTTTCGGCCGCTGGCCCGTCTAGCGTGCGCTAAGCTGCTTAATTAGGCCGCGTGCACTTATAGCTGCTTAATAGTCCCGCACGGCTCGCTTACAAATCAGTTACGCACCTTAATTAGGCTGCTCTTGGCGTACGTAGAGCCGAGGAAGCAATCACGGGCCAGTTAGCGCTGGCTAATCGGGTTTGCGAGGCAAAAGACCGACGTATAGACGTTGAGGCATACACGCATCGCAAATGCGAGCCGAGTCTAACTATCCGCTCCGTATAGACGTATACGGTCGGTCTTTTTGTCTATTTCTCATGTGATTTGAAATCTTCTTTAAAATGATAAATGCAAATTCCAGCCGATCACTAGATCCAACAAGAGTGTACAAGCTATTGCAAATTCCATGTGATTTGTTAGCGTGTGTGTGTGTCTGTGATGTTGGGACTGACCTGTCAACCTCCTTTGGGGCGCTACAAGATACTGATTCCTCCATTCATTTGCTACGCATTCATCGTGTCTCATCAAAGGCCTAACCTACGACTATGAGTCTGCAGACTAGTAGCAGTAATCATGCACCGATCAACACTTGTGCTATATATCTGCACTCCCCGGCAATGTGCAGTGCAGTGCAGACTACTGGTGTTTGGGGTAGATCCAGCAGCTAGCAAAAGAGGAGCAGAGACGGCAAGAATAATGGCATCCAAAACAGCGCTCATGACTGTGCTTTTGCTCGTCCTTGTGACCGGCGATCTTGTCCATGGCCACGCCCTCATGGCCGGCGATCTCGCCCATGGCCACGCCGTGCCGCTGGGACGACACACCCGGCCAAGCCTCGGCTGGATGCAAGGCATGAAGGGAGGGCCGCCTAGTGGCATGCAGCTATCAGATACTGCTGCTGCGGCCCGCCGCCGCGCTATTTCTTCGATGCAAAAAGGTTGAGGACTCTGCATCACTGCGTTGATAATTTTCTGGTGGTACAAAAAGGGTCACACAAAGAGAAGCAGGCAGAGGAAAGCATTGGTAACTAATCTACCTATAATTGTCAGTTCCCTGATGCGGATATTCTTGAATGTACCCTTATGCTGATGTTTTTACACATATTGTATCAGGCGAGGAAAGGCGGCGCCGCGACGCCAGCAGGGAGGAAGGCAAGTTCATCGCGCCCGTGCCTAGTTTCAAGCTCCCGCCCCTTCCTCCCAACGCTCCCTGAGAAGAGATCACATCACAGGGTGAGCATGCATGCATGCCGTGGGATTGACCATCACTAGGTCTGTCAGCAAAGGTGTGGGGGTGTTCAAGGATGATTTATATATATTGTTCATTCAATTAGTAAGGCAGCATCGTCTGCTATGTTTAAGTTACTAAGTATGATGCCATCTTCGTTCAGTAACTGTAAGGTTGCAGTATCAGGTGTAATAATGGGAGAAAACAGCGACCATATTCAGAATGAAATAGCTCAGTTCTTGAGAGAGCGTGGGTGTGATGAGCTGTTGTCTGTTGATAAGGGAAAACATAAGCAGTTTCAGAAAACATCAAGCGAGACTTGAACAGGATCCATCAACAAACATTGCCCCCACACTTCTTTCTTTTAACAGACCCCCACACTACTTAGGTTGTGCTAAAAGAAACTGCAAGATTGCACTTGTTAAACTCCATCTTAATTAAACACGTAATAGGATGGTAACACACAACAAAACAGAACAAGAAAATCCAGCACCAGTTCAACGGTTTCAAGCCCAGGTCATTTCATACCTGTGACCGTCGTCGAGCCTGTGTGCGCCCTCAACGGGATCAGAGATTCAGTGGGACAGAAATATTTCTTCTCGCTGACAGGCAAAGAGTTCATGTTCATTATTCCTATCCAGGTCGGTGAGAAGAGAAACATGAGTTTTATGCATGCAAAAAATGTCCATACCAAAAGGTTAAGTGAGTGTACAAGTTAGTTGGATCTGCACTCTCTGTTTAAGCAGCTTAGAATTGTGAATACTGAAGGAGGAAAGATTCTGACAACAAAAGGTTGCCACAGAAAATATTATCACAAAAAGAAAACAAAATGGTGACGCAAGTTTTGTAAGTGAGCGCAGGTTCATCTTTATTTGTTACACATTACGTCAGGCGAGGAAAGAAGCCAGGACGCTGGCGGGGAGGAAGGCAAGTTCTCCATGCCCATGCGGGGTTTCAAGCTCCCGCCCCTTCCTCCAAACACTCCCTGATAGTTCAGTTCACGTCACAGGGCGAGCATGGCATGTCCTGAACTTTCATTAGCCCTGTGAAAGGTGTTGGGGAATCCAAGGATCCAAGGATGCTTAAGTAATATAGTTCAATAACTGTAATGCAGCATGCAGCATCGGCTATGTTTTATGATGCTGCTTCAGTTCATTAATTGTAATGCAGCAACAGCTGTATAGTAATGGAAGAAATAGTGGGCATTTTGCTTGATCTTGTTCAGGTGAGATACTTGATGATCTTTGATAAGGGAAAACACGACGATTGGTCATGGCAATAAACAATTTCAGAGAAACAGAAAAAGAGACTTGAACAAGGTTGACTGTATTTCCATCGACAAACAATTGGTCATGGCATAACCCCCACGCTGCTCAGGTTGTGCTCAAAGCGAGTGAAACTGCAAGTTTTTCATCCTAATTAAACTAAGAAGAGGACGGTAATACACAGCAAGATACAACAGCAAACAGAACAAGGAAATCCAGCACCACTTCACCGGTTTCAAAGCCTATAGCATTCCGTACCTGCGACGCAACTACTGTCGAGCCTGTATGCACTCTCAACAGGGGCAGAGATTCAGAGAGACCAAATATTTCTGCTCGTTGACAGGCAGGAGCCCAAGTTCACTATTCCTGTCCAGGTCAGTAAGAAGAAATATGAGTTTATGTGTGCAATAAAATATACCTACCAAAATGTTAGACGGCAATGCTAGTTTCTGTCTCACGTGCTGGATTGGATTAGGTGGCTGTAGTAATCCCGGTCAGCTAAATTGCACAGATAATGAAGGAGCCAATGATTGCCGGCAGTGCAATTAACCAATTTAAGCTCCACTAGCATTAACAGACCAAAGATTTCTTTTCGGGTAGGTATACATGCCAAAATTTCAGAATAATCATCAGAAACTCTTTGTACTGACATGTGGCGACATATGTGGCTCTGCCAAGGGCTGCCTGGTTAAACAGGTTCTGCCATTGACTAAACGCCAAAGCTCCGGTAGGTGTTGTTGCTGTCAGCACTCCGATAAAGCATAATGCGAGCATCATTAACTAGTGCTGGCCTGCTGGGTAATTGACCTGGTCCTAGCTACTGAACAGATTCTTCAGCATCCATGCGCATATATGGACTTCCATGATTCTTCAGCAACTGACACTTCGCACTTCCTCAGCAGCCCTTGAGCAGACCAGAAGAGCAAGGATGGCGATCGCACTAGCCATGCCACTCGTGCTGCTGCTACTACTGCCAGTGACTCAAGCCTCGGCTCAGGAGCAGCAGCAGCAGCAGCCGCCATGGCAGGTTGTGCGGCCAGGCTGCCGCGACAAGTGCGGCAACATCACCATCCCTTACCCCTTTGGCATCGGCGCCGGTTGCTTCCGCGACGACGGCCGAGGTGGCTTCCAGCTCGAGTGCAATGACACCCGCTCAACACCGCGGCTCACCGTGACCGGCTATGGCATCCGGATCACCGGCCTGTCCGTCGCCACCAGCGAGGCCCGGGCCCACCTGAAAGCAACACGTCGATGCTACGACAGCAAGGGGCGTCTCGTCAGCCAGAGCGGCGCCACGTTCGTACCACTCGTTGGCAGCCACTACCTCTTCTCCCAGGCCAGGAACCGGCTCGTCACGCTCGGCTGCTCCAGCCTCGGCTACTTCATCGACGTTCTTGGCTACTATGTCAGTGGCTGCATGGCCGTGTGCCGGCCACAGCAGTTCACCACTCCGGGGTCCTGCACGGGCGTGGCATGCTGCCAGAGCGCGATACCCCCTGCTGTCGACTACTACGAGCCGTTCCTGCTTGACTTCACCAAGGAGCACCGAGACAGAGACATAGCCTTCTATAGCAACAAAACGACCTGCCGGTATGTGTTCCTGGTGGAGACCAAGTGGTTAAGTACAAGATACACCGGTGACAGCGAGTACCTCAACTGGACCAAAGACTTCTCCGTGCCCGTCATCCTCGACTGGGCGGTCCGGAACGTCGGCAGCTGCAGTGCCGCCAGGCGCAACTCAACTGACTATGCGTGCCAGAGCACGCTCAGCGATTGTATCGACTCCGGGGATGGCCATGGGTACCGGTGCAACTGCTCCAAGGGGTACGAAGGCAACCCCTATCTACAAGACGGATGCAAAGGTATACACCCATGCCCTGTTTTACTGTTCTGCTTCCTGCTCCTTCTGCCACTTCATCTTATGAATTGTTTTGCCAAATGGAAGACATCGACGAGTGTAAACGCAAAGAAGAGCAATCATGCTACGGCATCTGCACAAATACTTTGGGAAGCCACACTTGCCAATGTCCTCCGGGGACTAGTGGAGATGCTATGACGGAGAACGGTTGCCTGCCAAAGGACAATTTCACATTGGCCCTAAAAGTAGTAACAGGTAAGCAGATAATCCTGCAAATGGGTTGCGCTTGTAATCTTGTTTTGGAAAACTAACTGTAATGCTATGTCGTATTCAGGAGTGAGCGTTGGAGTGTTCTTGCCATTTTTCATGTCCTTCTGGCTCTACTTGGGGCTCCAGAAAAGGAGACTTATCAGAACAAAGCAGAAATTCTTCGAGCTAAATGGAGGTGTATTCCTGCAGCAGCAGATACGTAACTACAGTGACACCAGCAAAGGGGGTGGAGGGTTCAAGATCTTTACCAAGGAAGAGCTCGAGAAAGCGACCAACAACTTCGCAGCCGGCCGTGTTCTTGGCCACGGAGGGCACGGTATTGTCTACAAGGGTGTCCTTGAGGACAAGACAGTGGTGGCGGTCAAGAAGTCAAAGACGACCGAAGAGGTCCCTACCAAGGAATTCGCGAGGGAGATGTTCATCCTCTCCCAGATCAACCACAAGAATGTCGTCAAGCTGCTTGGATGCTGCCTCGAAGTAGAAGTGCCAATGTTGGTCTACGAGTTCGTCTCAAATGGTACACTGTACCACTACATCCATGGTAGTAGGGGCCTTGACTCTGATACAGGCTTCAACACCTGCCTTCGAATAGCAGTAGAGGCAGCCGAGGCACTGGCATATATGCACTCTTCAGCCTCACCGCCAATTCTCCATGGAGACGTCAAGACGGCAAACATTCTGTTGGATGACAAGCTTACAGCAAAAGTTTCAGATTTCGGAGCATCAAAACTAGCACCAACTGATGAGGCCAAGATGGCAACATTGGTGCAGGGAACTTGCGGTTACCTTGACCCGGAATACCTAATGACATGCCGGCTGACTGATAAGAGTGATGTGTACAGCTTTGGCGTCGTCCTATTGGAGCTTCTGACAAGGAAAAAGGCACTCTACTTCGACGGGCCAGAGGAAGATAGAAGCCTTGTTTTATGCTTCATGATGGCAGTAAAGGTAGGCCAGCACCAAGACCTTCTGGACAGCCAAGTGAGGGACGAGATGACAATTGAAGCGCTCGAAGAGATCACACACCTCGTCATGAGATGCTTGAACATGAGTGGAGAGGAGCGGCCAACGATGAAGGAGGTTGCAGAGAGGTTGGAGATGCTGAGGAGATACCACAACCACCCGTGGGCTCAAGCAGATGCCAATCCGGAGGAGGAACAAAGTTTGCTTGCTATGGAACCACATAATGTGAATTACAAGTTCACACAAGATTGTGTCCTTGATTTTGAAGCAAGCAGTACATACAGCTATAGCTTGTAGATCAAAATATTTGTTCCATCTTTTGTTGCATATCCATTTAGATATATATGTGCTTTTTTAGATGTAAGAAAACAAATGCACATATGATAGTTGCAGAAAAGTGAAATCTAAACCTCACACGGGTTGTACAATTCACTGAAATTGTATAAATGATCTAAATCAATAATATGCAGATATACCCATTAGCTGGTTAATGTTTTTCATTTTTTATTACAAGATGTTAAAAGCAATAGGATGTAAAGAGATCGGACAACAATTTATTAGGATGGAAAATTACAAAACGATTGTTGACTAGGCACCTACTACAAAAGAAACTGCTTAACTTGATTTGCAGGCAACATCCAAAGTAACCTACAGGATGGTTTATGTGCCAAAACTCAGATTGTCACTGTTTAAAAAAAGTTGTACCTTTTCATTTGGAGGGATAGTCTGACATGAACTTCCGTGATCTCAGAGCTTCCTTATAAAGGAATAAGCTTCCCAATGTATGCCATAGGGATAAGCCTCCCAATGTATGCCATAGCATGCAGCGTCCCATGATAAACCGTTTGCCAATGCATCCTTCATCCGCAAATCCCACTGCGAACAGTCATTCTTCAGTACAATGGAGAGCAAATTGTGTTAGACATGCGCTAGACTGGCCTTTGTTGGCTATCCTCAAAGCAAAGAAGTTCAGAATATAGCTTATTCAGAGAAATAGATTTTGCTTCCCGGCTGAGTAATTGCAAACTTGGTTTATGCTGATGGTTCAAAATGTACTTGATTGATACATGCAGAGATGATTAGTCGCACATAATCAGCAATTTACAGCACCGTGACATGAGAGCTAGTACCCTGTTCTGTAAAAATAACAGCTAGTGCCCTGGAGATTGTGAACTTACAATATCGTCAAGAGCTTGAGAAAGAGACATGTCTTCATATGTAGAGATGATGTGCTCGGATAAAGCTGTATTGTAGTAGTCATGACTGAAAGATTGCCTGGTTACAAGTAAATTAAAGCTCTGAGCCGTAAGTTACGACATAAATGTCAATCAACTGATCTGAAAACTTATGTTGATCCATAATATGAGCTTCTGTTGTAGCCTAGTGCTTGTGTACAGTCTTTTAGCTTTTCTTGTTCGTTTGCCTTTTGGTTTGGCTGCTTGGTCAGGTGTATTCTTTGTGCCTTCATTGTGTTTCTTCTCAAGGCAGTTCAAGGCGCTCAATCAACGCCTCGCGTTGTGTCGCATCAGAGCCCAAGAGGTGCCCTTAAGTAACCTGTTGTTACTACAACATCATACTACATACGTGTGGCAAGATATCATACTGCAAACTTTTCTGCGTGTTTTCAGACTCTGCTTTTGGAATGTTTGATTGATACAGGAGAAATACCGGGGAATGGACGATGCGAGCCTCTTAGCGGTGTTCCCGCCCTCCGATCTCGAGGACAATTTGGTATTATAAGCGTTACGAGCTCGGTCTTCAGTGGCGCTTCGATCATGTATACTGCCACTATGTTCACTTGCAGGACTACCAGCGGCTCATCCTTCCAGATAATGTATGTAGGTGACAAACACTTGGTTCCATAAGCAAATATTTCAGTGCTTCGTTGTGTGGTACTATAAGCTGAATGATGGTGAGGCGAGGCTAACAATATATTTCTTCCCCCACCTCACCTATATGGTACTCAGATCGATCCCCATGTTGATTCAGAGTTTAGAATGTCGCCTCTAAACTGGTTAAAGGAGTGCGTTGGCGGATTCTTTCTTAAACCTAGCACACAAATTAAATCTAAAACAACTTATGCTTAAAAATGTAGGGAATACGACAAAAGTTTGCTGAGCATTCAGCATCGTATGCTGCAGTGGACCTCTTATAATACAAGTGAGGCAGAATTGGTTAGCATTGGTTTCTGGAATGCTGCTAATGGCACGTATATGTAACCAGCAATGAGTGTGCTACTGATAATGTTTTCGTTGTGCAGGGTGAGTATGAAGACTGTGAATATTACTACAGAACTTGTAGCACACTTGAGGGTGACCAAGAATTCGTCCAGTTCTGGGAAGAGCTGTCAAGCAAAACCGAGGTGTGCACGATGTGATGGATTGTAAACTTCTGCTCGTTATATCTCATTATCTTCTGAATTGCCTTTCTGTCACATGCAGTTGATTGAATTGCACCTGACAGGCAGGTCCCGCGAGGTAAACATTCCCCAAAAGTCTCTTGTCGTTAATAGCTTATTATTGTATGTATTTGATGATGTAGTCTTGCGCACCGCATCCTAAAGCCCTGTTTTAATCTTTAGGAGCCAGACAGTTGGAAACTGTTGTTTTATCATGCACTGAAGATCGCAGAAGAACATCCCCATGTTCATAAGACTTTAATCCTCCCAGGCTTCACTGTAATGCCCTTCCAACACTTGTTAATTTAGTTGGCACTGCAAATTATGATAGAGTTTGGTATTTTTTATATTTTGTATCAGGAATTTAAGCGTAGCGTGTGGATTGATTATACTTGGGGTAAATGTGCGATGGCGGAAAGCGTCGTACCTCTATCGGAGGGGACGCCGTACGTGTTTATAGGCAGGGGCACACCTCCCTGATAGCGCATACAGTTTAGATTACATCTTGAAGAAGAAGCTAAGTAGAGATAAGATTACAAAGAGGAGATAAACTCTAGCTAACCACCTAGCCGAACTACCAAGATATTGATCAGAGAAGATAATGCGCAGCCCCTTGTCACGTACACAGGAATGTTGTTTGACACCCTCCCTTAATCACAACTTCATCAAGTTGAGATTATACTTGAAGTTCTCAAAACTTCGTATGGGCAAGGCTTTAGTAAACCCATCTGCAACCTGGTCTTGAGAATGTATAAATCGAATGTCTAGAAGTTTACTAGCAACTCTTTCTCTGACAAAATGAAAATCTATCTCAATGTGTTTCGTTCTTGCATGAAAGACTGGATTTGCTGAAAGATAAGTTGCACCCAAATTGTCACACCACAGACATGGAGCTTGAGTGATTTTTACACCAAGTTCCTTGAGAATGGATTGTACCCATATAATTTCTGCAGTAGCATTAGCTAGTGCCTTATACTCTGCTTCTGTGCTGGACCTTGAAACAGTAGCTTGTTTTCTGGCACACCAAGAGATCAGATTTGATCCAAGAAATACTGCAAAACCACCAGTGGAGCGTCTATCATCCAAACATCCTGCCCAATCTGAGTCAGAGAATGCACTAACAAGAGTGGAAGATGACTTGCTAAAATTGAGACCAATGCCCATAGTATCTTTCACATATCTTACTATCCGTTTTGCAGCAGTCAAATGAACTGTGGTTGGTGCATGAAGGAATTGACACACCTTGTTAACAGCAAAAGAAATATCAGGTCGAGTGAGAGTTAAATATTGAAGTGCACCCACCAGACTTCTGTATCTTGTGCTATCTTCTGAGCTCAAGGGTGTTCCTTCTGTGAGAGACAATTTTTCTGTACTAGACAAAGGAGTGGTGGTAGGTTTACAGCCTTGCAACCCAGCTTTTCTTACCAAATCATTTGCATATTTTTCTTGGGAGAGATGAAGTCCATCCTTGTGCTTCTTCACTTCAATCCCTAGGAAATAGTGCAGATCCCCAAGATCCTTCAGAGCAAACTCAGCACCTAAGTCCTTCAACAGTCCTGTTATTGCCTCATCAGATGAACTTGTGACAATAATATCATCAACATATATAAGAACAAATATTGATGTATTGGCCTTATTGTAAATAAACAATGAAGTGTCAGACTTTGAAGGAACAAATCCAAGCATTTGCATTTTCTTGCTGAGTCGAGAATACCATGCTCTAGGGGCCTGCTTCAGTCCATACAGTGCTTTGTCAAGCTTGCATACATAAGAGGGTGCATGTTTGCTTTCAAACCCAGGAGGTTGTTTCATGTAAACCTCCTCTTCCAGAACACCATGAAGAAACGCGTTCTGTACGTCTAACTGTCGAAGACTCCATCCCCTGAAAACATCAATGGATAGGACAAGACGAATAGTTGCAGCTTTTACCACTGGACTAAATGTATCCTCATAGTCTATGCCATATCTTTGTTTAAAACCCTTAGCAACTAGCCTTGCCTTGTAACGATCAACTGTTCCATCAGACTTGCGTTTGATTCTAAAAAACCCATTTGCAATCAATGAGATTTTTACCTTGCCTTGGAGGGACTAAATGCCAAGTTTTATTTTTCTGTAGTGCCACATATTCCTCATGCATTGCCTTTCTCCACTTCTCATCGCCAAGGGCCTCTTCAAGCGTATTGGGCTCACCTGGTTCCCCTGTGGAGCAGATTAAGCCATATTTTGTTATGCGTTTATAATTAACAGGCTTAGTTACCCCTGATTGCAGCCGTGTGCGACGTTGTGGTGCACCAGTGTTGTTTTGCACCACAGAAGATCCGGCAGATGAATCCACCTGCGCCAGATCCGAGGCGGATCCGCCTACACCAGCAGTTTCGGCTGGTTCTGCTCCTGGATGATCTTCTGTGGCTCGCGATTGTGGCATTGAAGAGAAAACCGGCGCAGAAGATCCCGCCTGACCAGCGACCACGGTCTGATCGAGGCAGGCATCTGATCCCGCGCCAGCGCCTGCTGCAGCCGGGCCCGCACCAGCCGACCGCCCTGGCTCGCGCCGCTTGTACACAGCCGGTTGGGTGCCGAACCGCGAGCCGATCGGACCCATGGGAGGTTGGCACATGGCAGCCGCTGATTGGTGCGGGCTGGTGAAGCCGCCACCACCAGCCACAGCCGGCCGCGTGGCCAACGCGGAGTCGCTCGCGGCTGGATCCGAGGCAAGTCCACCCGCCGCTGCTGATGCGCCGGTTCCCGAGGCGGATGCGCCTGCTGCAGCTGACGCGCCGGATCCCGAGGCGGATTCACCTGCTGCACCTGGCGCGCCGGATCCCGAGGCGGATCTGCTCCCTCTGCCGTGACACACGCGATATGGATGGTGCGTTGCACTGTTTTCTTCATTTTCTTC